GCTTTTTTTGCACCAAGCTTTTTTCGATGCCTTAAGTTACTTTATCAGATATGCGTATAAATGTAATCACTGTCTTTTGTTTTGTTTCTAATGAAATATTTTACAAATTAAATAATAAAGAAGATTTCAAACCCATTTATTTATTAATAATTATTCTCAAACTATATTGATGCAATTTTTTCATTTTACGTTGTTGGCAAATAATGAATATCTAAATTCCGGGACTAATCCCGGGATCCCGGGATTGTATGAACAATATCCCGAAAATCCCGGGATCTCAAAAATCTAAAAAATTAACATCCCTAGTACATACGCACACATGTTTCTATCTGAAGTCTGTTTTTGTTTTCATTAAGTGTGCTCAGAAAGATACTGTCAGGTGCTGCCCAGAAAGCTCCAGGATGCTTGCAAAGACCTGACGGCTCCTGGACTGAGACCGAGGATAGCATGCCGGTACAGCAACATTTAACTGGAGATCTTTCGGTCCCTGGAGATTTCCTCACTAGGCAAAAGGTCATCTGGTCTATTGGGATATTTAAGCCCTATAAATTACCAGGTCCGGATGGCATTGCCCCCATACAGCTGCAGCAAACACTTCAGCTAAGCTCAGCGTGGCTACACGCTATAATTAAGGGAGTATTAGCTCTTAACCATATCCCTAGAAAGTGGAGGGAATCAAGAGTGGTGTTCATCCCCAAGGCAGGGAAGGTGTCTCACAACAACCCAAAGGATTTCAGGCCCGTCACCTTGTCGTCATTTCAATTGAAGGTTATGGAGAGACTGGTGGAGGTCCGTATCAGAGAGTCGGTTGGTGACGGACTGTCTACCACACAACATGCTTATACGAAAGGTAGATCTACAGAAACGGCGCTACATGAAATAGTGTCGCATATAGAGAGATCACTAGACATCAAAGAATATAAGCTAGCAGTCTTCCTGGATATAGAGGGCGCCTTTAACAACATCATGCCGGGCGCGTTAACGGCAGCACTGACGGGCCTGGGCATCGACTCGCGCTTAGTTGCGCTCGTAAACCAAATGCTGAGATGCAGGGTGGTTCGGGCGGAGCTGGCGGGGGTATCGTTGACCAGGATCGTAGAGAGGGGCACCCCGCAAGGGGGAGTCCTATCCCCTCTATTATGGGTCGCAGCGGTAAACTCACTGCTGTGTGGCATGGAGGGGGGTGGCTGTAAGGTTATTGCGTATGCGGATGATCTTGCACAAACAGTAAGTGGGAAATTTCCACAGACTCTATGTGACATTATGCAGGTAAAACTGAAGGAAGTCGAGAGGTGGACAAAAATAACGGGTTAGGGGTAAACCCAAGCAAGACAGAACGTGTACTGTTCACAAGAAGGTACAAAATCCCCCCATTGATAACACCAAGGCTGGCACAGAACACACAAAAATTAAGCGAATCTGCTAAATACCTGGGGATAGTCCTGGATAAAAAATTAAGCTGGATTCAAAACACCGAAGAGCGGGTTCGGAAAGCCACGGTTACCCTTTACAGCTGCAGGAGAGCAATCGGCCAAAAATGGGGTTTAACCCCGAAGCTAGTGCACTGGATATACACCGTCGTGGTGAGGCCCATATTTCTGTACGGGGTAGTGGTATGGTGGCTGGAGAAGAAAGTAAACAGTACTAAATTACAAAAATTGGAGAGAACGGCCCTGATCTGCATTAGTAGTGCTCTCCGCACAACACCTACTATGGCAATGAATACGATCCTTAACATCATACCCATAGATATTATGGGACGACAATACGCTGCGTTTGCAGCCCTAAGACTACAGGGGCTTAAAAGCTGGAAAGCGACTCGTTGTGGTCACACTACAATTCTGAGAAATCGACAACTACCGAGTACAACGGACTACTGTGTACCAAGGCTCACTTTCACTAAAGGTTATAGCGTAACGCTACCTAGCAGAGAACCATGGCTCG